GAAGTTTTCAGCGTCTGCTTACATATTAATGACAGTTTTGTCACTTGCTGATGCTATTACTTTAGGAGTCAGAATACCTCAAGGTTGTATTTTGTAAGTTTATTAAAAATATTTATTTTTTCCTTATTTTGTGCAATATTTTTAAACGAAGTTATAAACATCTTGACTGTTACAGTTTAATTAACTTAGTCTTCAAAAGCGGATATCAATTACGTATTTATAATTGTTTTATAATTAAAGAAACTAGTGTTATAACAGTGAAGAACCATATGAATTTTATCGGTTGTTGGATAAATGTCATTTGTCGCTTGGCTGAATATTGACCAGATGATGGTTGCCAGGAATTTGAATAAATGACAAAAGCTCACGACGAAAAGATATTTGTACACAGAGTTGTTGGCCGGTGCAATATGAGTCGTCTTAAATATTTTAAAAAATGAGATAAGTTTGTAACAAATTCTTAGGAAAAAACAAAAAGGATCAGGATCGTGCGAAATGACGATAGTTGGTTTACATTGGTTATGTAAGTCATTCAAAAATCAATGAAATTCTAGTCTATCAGGTTTACTTATCGCCTGCTATATCACCCGGTCCCCAAGAAATATTGAAGAATCTTGTTGTAGTATCATTTGAGACATTTTGGCATCCATAAGAATTTCTTCATTTATCCTTGTAATCTTACAGTTCAATGAGTCTCTACATTTGAGGACTGTAAGAATTACAATATTGTAGATTTTAAAGTTATTTTCGTTCATTATATTAATTTATTTGCCTGCTTACATTTCACTATATTTACTCGTCAGTATTCCGAAGTTCTTGAGTATGACGAGTAACCGTGTTTGCTGACATTTGAAGAGGGCTTCTTGTTGGTTTTATGGACACTTTTGGTTCTGTGTTCGTTTACTGATTACTTATATCTGTTTTTGTTGGTCTGTTACTGTGATGAAACATCATTAAATTGAAGTAAGACTTAGTTTAAACACCAGTTTGATGAATCAGCTGGGAAGTCATAGTTGACTAATGTAGTGTTAGCATTACCATATGAAAACTGTTCTCTAAAACGCTTCCTGATATCTTGTTCAGTCATAGAAGTATTCTCTATTTCAGCATAAAATGTATCGGTGGTAGTACTGCCTGAGTTTGATATCTTTGAATGTGATCCAAAATTTGGTTGATTGAGGAAAAATTTGTTCGATATTATGATGTAACTTAGCTAAGATTTAATGGACCGTTTTCTCCGAATCGGATAACTGGTTTCCCCTCACTGATTTAAATTGTCCTCTTCAACCAGTCATCCCCAGCCAACACAACAAATCGAAGGAAAACTTACATAAATAAGAAGATAAAACAAAGACAGTATGAAATAGTCTGTTTTTCAGTAATGAGAAAAGTAAACAAAAAGTCTATCTTATGAGCTATTTAAATGACATTTTGTTATAAAATCTGAGCATATTAAACTAGATGAATGTTTCATTCAGGTGAAAAGATATTTATTAGTTTTGGTAAAACATCGACGTGAAATAATTTTGGACCACTTTGACAAGGTGAATAAAATAAACTAAATAAACGAGGCAAAATTAAACCAAAAACGTTATCTAAACAAAGATGGATGGTGACTAGTAGTGGAATATAGAACATGCGTTTCGTCCCATTTGTCCTCGTCAGCTGGACGAACCTGCAGTCCTAAACATCAATGGGAAGATTCAAACAAACGATACAAAATGAATTTAAATTTCACCTCATTGCACAAGCTGGTGGTTAAATAGACTAAGCAGCTAAATGGGGTACGCGTTGACGTTTGAAGCAAAAGTTACTGAGTTCGAATCCCTGGGTGGAAATCAACTCCAAGATGCTAGCTTATTCAGCTGACGAGTTCCGAATAGGACGAAACGCGCTTCATGAATTTCACTGCTAGCAACCACCCAATCTTTGTTTATAATGCTTGTGACTGAAGGCAGTATCGAAGTAACCCGCAAAAGGTGCACATATACCAATAAGAGACTGATCAAGTGCAGTCCTAAATATCAATAGGAAGATTCAAAAAAACAATACAAAATTATTTCACAAATGTACTGTTCAATTTTCTTTTGTCCATTAAAATAATGAAGTAATACATTTACAAAAAGAAACTAACAGGAAATCAAGGAACATAATTCACACAGACATTCAAATCAGTACAAGTTCTCATTCAAGATTGGTTAAATACTATACTATACGTAGATTTCTTAACGTTGTTTTTCGTAAATCATACAAAAATATTACGATAGATAGGATGGAATTAGTTGCTAGGACTATTAAAATCTTAAAGAATATAATTCAATTTAACGTCTAGTATTAACCTTAAAATTACTGAAATTTACAAGATTTGGTTTGGTTGAGATAATATTGTAATAATCTTAAGTCAATCAAATTATAATTCTGTGGAATAGTTTCAAACAGTGAATAAAACAGGTTAAACACTGTTGAAAAAACCAGCAATCTGGTAAACTCCATACAAACATCAATATGTCTATGTTATCACGGGGTAAAAATAGACAGTATTTCAGGTCAGTATATATTGTATCAAGTCAGCTGAAAATCTGTACATTATGACATGTATGGATTTCAGAGTGATATTTATATCGTTTTTGCTAATTTAGTTGATCTATATTTAGTATAATTCTCTTAGTAACCTTATTTTTCTCCACGTGTCATATTATTGTGTTCAAAAGTTAATACGTAAATGAACTCATTTTGGCACAAATTTTTTAACGACATGTTTTCGGAAGTCAGTTAATTTGTCTTTTCACTAGATCTTAGTGTTCTTATGAGAATTACAGTGGTTCCCGTTTCGCGTATAGTCAGTAGGACAGTGGACACAACAGTGGCAACACGGATATAAATGTATAATGTTTACATTGAACTATTCAAGCTGTTTAGAATAGTGTGGCACCGATCATTTATAATCCCAAACTTTGACAATTGATTGGAAAAATTGAGTATGGGTAACGGATTTTGCACTGAGGTTTCGCTATTCTTCACGACTCATCACTAAACCGTCAATTTGATAGTTATTTAACTACTGTTTATTCAACTTCAGTATGCCATAATATCAGGTCTGTGTTCTTCAGTAAAATATAGAACACTTTAACATGTATTTTTCTGGAAATTCTTCCTATAAAAACACTCACTATCCCTCTATTCATATGATATATGATTTATCTTACTTCACTCATAGTGTATTCATTTATGTATTCAATCTGATCTCCAACCTTGACCTATCTCATTTGTCTACATTTCTCTCTTTATTTTTATCAAGAATATTTTTCTTTAAACAAATAATTGTACTAACCCGGACTGCTGTATATTGCATAAACATGAATTAAAAATACTCTCCTAACAGCTCTATTAAACAAATGTCCTAGTTATGAACATATGGGCTTATTTCAAAATGTTTTATGTCCTAATTTACATCAAAATATTCTTCTGTTTTTTCTCACAGACATATATCATCTTTTTCTCCGGTTACTTTTCTTTGATAATTGAACATATAGGTTTGACCTGGTACAACATAATAGTGAATTTTGATTACCTTTCCTTTCGTTATCAGTTAATTAATCAGGTGAAACATAACTGTATATTTCAAATGTAAATGAAATTTCAGTTGATAATTACTAAGTGCATAACTATACAACGCTCCATATTGGGTAAATATTTTATTGAGTTATTAACACTTTCATATCTGCCATGCAATATTCTCTACTCCTAGTTGTACACATAATTGGTGTCTTTAGTAAGCACTATAGTTAAAATTAAGCAAAGTATAATCGTCATTTAACATATAAATAGTTTCAACAAGAATCCAAGATATATAACCAATGAAGGACCGAGTCTTTCATGTTAGAAGAAAAATACGTAAAGTTTGCTGTTGAAAAATAATATTGCTATATTCTAAATCGAATCTTAATGGCTGTATAAGAATTCAAAACATAGCATTCTTATAGCCACGAGACCCTAAGGTTCTTGGTTTGATTCAGGTGGCAGGAGTAGTCGAGCGGTGATCACGATTATCGGAGTAGGACAAAACAATTGTTCAGTATTTACTGCTTTTTGATCGTCGCTCCGTTTTAGTCACCTGCGGTTTTTCAAAAATCAATGAAAAAGGAAATTACTTTACAGAAAAATGACGAAACTTTGTTTTGAAATGACTAATATAAAAAAGATTTGATTGTTAATGATAAAGATACTACTAACTAAACACTCTTTGTTTAATACTATTGTATGTATGTAGTTTGTTAGAAATTATCATTATTTTATAGCACTGTTTTAAAATTCATGGTAAGTTAAGTCTAAAATAAATAAAAGAATTAATCCTTAATGCTTTCAAATATAAAAAAAAGAGTGGTGATAAATATTCTAAGCAATTAAACATCAAATTAAAAAAAAGTAATTTACAGATCATTGGAGTAGTAAAATGTATTTTCTATACTATTTTCTTTTTTGGTTGAATTGGCAACAAAAAAAATCATCTTTAAATTAAAACCGAAATATTTATAGGAATATATCAAAGGGCGATGCTAATGTATCGGAAAAAAAGAATGGTGTTAAAACACTTTTCTGATAACTGACCGAAATTATTAAAATAATTATGCTAGAAATGAATAGAAACTTTTTAATCAGAAGTTTAACCAAATACTTAGCGTTATGTTTTAGGATGTTAAAATTATTTCTTATTAGGATCTAGATGTTGATGGTCAAGATTAAAGAACTAGCTTTTTAGTTATTCACCTATTTACGCCCGTTTCCTCTCATGGAGAAGCCTGGGCCTGATAATTTTTGCTAATTGAACGCTATACTCGGTTCCTAAGCTATTCTCGTAACTCCCTGGATAAATCTACACAACAATTTGAACACGAAAGAAAAGGTGTGAAATATGCAAGAATCACTTTACTTCAAAGCTTCGTTCATATACAGAAAATATAGGTTTTCATAGCATTTCAGAAGTCTTTGGGTTTTACCAAAAATTCTGGAATGCTACTAAGCATAGTAACAGTACAGTAATCAGCCAGTCAGAAACTCTACATGTTGTTTTTCACTTTCGAGATGTTTCTGGCAAAACGTCTAGTAAACCTTGATTGGATAAAATGTTTCTTAATGTTTCCTGAGCCTTTCTTGTCACCTCAACAGGGCCATCCATCAGTATTCTTCATCCGACTACTTTTTAGGTGACTCTTTTCAGTTTGTTACCAATTACCTTCGATTCCTTTGATGTCCGTTACAATACCCGAGTCAGTGTGTTCCCTGGTCTTCCTTTTATCCTCTTTCCGTCACAGTTCCAAGTAAGCACATGCCTTGTAATGCAGTTTGATGAATTCCTCAATGTTTGTCTTTTCCACCTCCAACGTCTTTTGCTAATTTCCTTTTCAGCTTGAACCTGGTTTGGTTTCTCCCACAGTAGGTTGTTGCTGATGGGATTCGGTCAACGGACATTGAGTATCTTACGTAGACAATTGTTTTTAATACCCGTGCATTTTTGATGATGGTTTTAGTTGTTTCCCAAGTTTCAGCTCCATACATTAGAACTGTTTTGACGTTTGATCGATGTACCAAACTCCGCCTGTAGCCTTTTTAAGATTACTGCCATCCCCCAGGCTCGGTTAAAGGATGAGGGTTGAGCATGGTGTCAACAACCCAATCTTGTAAAAGAAAACCTTGTCATAAAAACTCTAACTGAAAAAAAACTATCCCCTGTAAGCTTCATTTTTATCCTAACAAACACTGCTGTTTTAGAATACTGTAAATGTTCGAAATTCAGAATTGGACTGACGATGGCAGTCCAGTTGCTCGTTAAAATATAAACACGACTATTGGGTGAACGTGAAGAAATATTGTTGTAAAATTTCCAGTTATCATTTCATTTTCTGATGAGGTAAGCCTCCGAAGATCAATTTGTTTGTTTATATCGCCTCGACTTTCTTACTCTTGAATAAAAATCCCTCGCTCGTATTTTTGTTATCGTTTGAGTTTTTCTTTGCATTTGTCCACAGCAGTACCCATTGTCACTAGAGTAAATAACAACTAGCAAACGTTTACCGAATATCAAAGAAATTAATTGTAAAAGTAAGGACAAATTATATAAGCGGACAACGATATTTTAAGCCGTCATCAGGTTTTATCCTAACTAGTAATGTCCAACCTGATAGACTACTGAAGGCAGTTAAAAGGGCGTTTTATACAAGTAATCTTGCATTTACATTTCCCAGTCGACCAGTGATGCTTATTCAAATGAAAATGATTTGACTGTTTGAAAAGATAGTTTAAGTTCGGTTGATCTTGAAAACTTCATTTTCTTCATAGAATACTAACCTGAGTTTTTGAAAACGCTGAGTCCAAGTTTTATTTTGAAGATTATATTAAGTATTCAACCAGCTGATTGAGCAATAGTCACTTTCTTGTAAAAAATTAATAACATCTAAGCATCTACTTATCGGAAGACTAATTCACAATGATCTTTACGTTTTTGTTAAAAGAATATCCTAATAGTTTCAATTTAAAATAGAGTTGGCTTCAATACACTTGTACGGAATTCAGTTGATATAACTGTTGAGAGGCATAAAAAGTCTATAAAGAGTCTCATATAGATACCAACCTCATGGATTTTTGATGAACCACTGGATTTATAGGTTCCTAAGAACATTAGTTAATTGCCTTGTTAGCCGTTAACATAGTCATTTGTTTTATGGAATCGTTCAAGCTGAGGTCTTTCTTCGTTAGTTTCATGGTAACGCATATAAATTTATGCAATGATTTACAATTTCGTTTATTTGACCACCAGATATTCCCTTTTTATTTTTCTGCCTCAAAAGTTTATTACATAAATGTCGTTTATAGACTTAGTGGGGCATGATGTAATTCAATGAAAAATAAGTAAATTTATCCCACATATATAAAGTATACAATTATTATTAGAAAAGTGAATCATATGACTAGCTTAGAACAGTCTCTGGAAAAAATAATATACCTACAAAACCTATATAAACTCTCCCAATAATGTAATATATCGGTCGAAAATAATTAATTCAAATGTCATTGAAATTCTTTGGTATAAATGAGTGGTATAATTATAAATACAATCAAAATGCAATATTTTATGCTTGTCAATTTATTAATAGACCCATATTCAAATGTTCTATTTCCTGAGTGATAAAAATTAGATTAACACATAAATTCCATCAGTTATTTTATTTATTTTATAAATCTTGCTATCTTGCTATTTAATAATTAATCAAAACTACCGTGGTGTGGGCGACATAAGTAGTATATATCTTGAGTCAGGAATGCAACTTTTAATAGTTGAGATCATGAATCAATTGAAGCTAGACCACCATCAAAAACCTGAAAGCACTGAACGACCATTTCGTTCTAGTATGGAACTCATCAGTAGTGCGTGTCTACAGTCCCGCCTCTCGAGATTCGGACCTGTCAGTATCACGCGCTAGCGCTCAACCTCTAGACGATTGATCCGGCATCCAACAGCGGTAATGTCTGACTCCAAGTAATTCATGAAATTGCGCCACCGTCCACCATTGCCTTCAGTGAGTTATCTCACAACAGACATAGATGAACTCCATTCATCACTGCTTCTCACTAGAATTCCAGGAAATACTTCTTGAAGCCAGTAACTAGTAAGCATATGATTACTGTCAGAAGGTGGGTTTTTGTGGAGATTTTATTAATTTTATGGTTGCTGAGGAGTCCCACAATAAGACGAAACGGCCGTTCAGTACTTCCAGATTTTCCATGGTGATCTAGCTTCAACTGACTCATGATCTCAACAATTAAAATTACTATAATATCTACGAAAACCCCTTCTGATGTTAAAACTAACTTTTCTTAATCCTTTAATTATTAAATAATTCTCATTCAATAATGAATATTTTCAACGTATCATTGACATTAATTTTGGGTAAAATATGCTTCAATAAGCTCAATGCTCATATAAGTTGTTCTTTCGAAAAAAGATAACATTACATATCGTGTTATTTCCTAGTTGAAAAATCAACAGCCACAACCTTATTTGAAAAAAGAAGGTTTACTGTTTTATCGAATGACTTGTAATTGTTTACTTTCCTACAAATTTTTCTCATACTTTAGATAACTGCTACATGTTTCTCCAGATTTTATTAAAGTTTCAAGCATTTCACTACTCTGAAGTATGGAATAAAAACGTTTTTATCAGAGTTATATAAAATTATTATGATACATTATTATCATGAGTTCTTTATATGAATTATATTAAGACCTATCTTATGATTAAGCAATGGGAAGTTACCCTCTAATAAAACCACCCGTCTAGATTTGGGCACCTGGGCACTATTCCATAGCTCACACAAATTGAATGATACATGATGGCGCATATGTTTTTGTTGCTTTCTTGTACAAGTAAATTAGATTGATTAAGCAATACATAAAATCTATTAACACTTTTTTATTACCAATCGATAATGTTATTTAAAGGTAACATGTAACTAAATGAATTCAACGAGATTTATTTAACCTTTTAAAAACAACTAAAAATTCAAACACAATCAATGAAATGAGACTTTTATTCTCCTAATGAAAGTAACAGGCTTCATCCATCGACATTTTTTTCTTTTATTAACTCATAAAGTACCAACACTAAAGTGTTATCAATAAAAATAGTCTTAACTAATCTTATGTATATAAGATCATGGATTATATGAGCTACTTCCATTCTTTTTCTATGTTTTTCCATACAATGACCAATAACCCCCCCCCACAAAAAAAGAGATTATGTTAATCCTTTTTTCTTTTTTTTCTTTTTATTTAAATGAAACCTACTTTGTGTTAATAGAGGGGAGAATAGATTACAATACAGATCATATTGTAATGTGTCTATCATTTCATTATCTAATAATAAATACTTTTTTTAATGAAAACTAAAATATTTATTTATTTTACATAAAAAAAGTAATACTTAAAAAATACAATGATGATGGGTAAAGCAGGTCAATACCATTGAACTGTAAATAAAAAAAATTTAAAAAAAATTTTTTTTTCTTTTATTGTTTTAGAACATTAGAAAAGAGTCCCATTTTTGAAAATTGAAATCATCTTTATTTAAAAAATTTTTTAATATTTTTTTAAACCATTCTTGTAGGAAATTACCCCCATAGAAATAGGTAACAGTGAATAAACTTTTCATATAATTTAATCCATGGTAGATATACATTTTTTTATCTTAAATGAAGTATATGATTAAGTAGAATGGAAAATTAACTGAAAACTACGGTTTTCAAATCATAAAGAAATACAGAAAAAAATATATAATGGTTCCTATTGAATGCTTAATGATTATTACTTCCTTTATAAATATTTTCAGTAATAATGGTTTACTTATATAATTTGGTAACGTGTATTTCACTGAAACTGCTATTTATGTTTCTTCAGTTAATGTGTAAATAATAATAGTATATTTGATCCACAGTATTTTACGTTTCTTACGCATGTTATCTGATATTGATGTTAAGAATTCCAAACCTATCCGTAACCTATTTCTATTGTGAAATATGCGAAAGAACACTCTAACAATGATAAACAGCCAAAAGTTTGAAAAAAAACCTCAGCTCATCTGTTTTTCATTCAAGAAAGTTGAGATTTTAGATGAATTTGATGGAATTGTTGTATTGAATGATGTCTGAAAACTGATAGTGATATACGCTGTGCTACGCGCTATTCCCTCAACTGACTACTTGAACGAGAACATAAGAGTGAACGAGAAAGCGCATTGAGCTACCGAACAAAATTCACAAATACTCATTCATACATGTATATATAACAATCTATCAATAGGAAATTGATTTATTTCCTAGACAATGCAAAGCACTTATCATTAAGGTCACTTCTGCTTGCCATTGGTTGACCTTCGCATTAGGCTACTTTCGAATGGTGCTCCATATCAAGAATAAAGACAGTAATGAAAAGAAGCAACGCTGCTACTCAACTGGTTTCACTTTATAACACAAAGTGTACGTTATACCATTCAAAGGTAGATCAATACCATTCAAACATCACTTCCACTCTCATACATGAATTCAACTGTACCTGTATAGAGAAAGGATTTCTACTAAGCTCCTTTTAAGTACTGGACATGAAGGGAATATAAGTAATTCATTCGCAATAATCGAAAGATAGAAAATACTAATTTTACTCATTTTGCAGTGGCAATCGCTATTACACTTCACCAACTTGATATATACATACAGAAAGAAAATGTCATTAGACTTTCTCTGCCATAGTGACTAAGTATTTATCAAATAATCTCTATTAGAGTTTTTCAACCCTCATTTTTTCAATTTTTAGTATGTTTATCTCTTGCATAATTGTATTGTTGTTTACATATTAATTTGAATTTATTTCTTATTTTAGTCAGTGATTACATAACCAATAACCTCTTTTATCTTGCTTATAACTAATAGTAACTACAACACTTATATTGCTCTGCATCTTTATTTTCTAACACATAAATATAAATTGATCTAATTATTATCATCATTTTAATTTCGAATACTTATCCAAACTTTACAAAGTGAACATGTGCATGTAATAATATTATTCTGTGTTATTATTCGCTGTATGCCACGAAATACAATGAATCTTTTTATTCTCCAAAGTTTGTTCTTAGTCTGTTTATCGAGGAATCTGGTTGTGTGATGTGTTATCCTCTGACAAATAAAATGTTCGTCTAAATGTTTAGAGTTATACCCATATTTCTGATAAGTTTGCTTGATTTCAACTTTCAAATAATAGTAATAATAGCTTTGTTTAATATTATAATTGTTGTTATAATAAAGAATTCTCAACACTGACTATACAGTAATGCAACAAATATCTTTTAAATACCCATTCAGATAGTAAGTAGTCAACCTGTATTTTATAGATGCTTTCAAATGGTCAGCACCTGCCATCTGGATTCAGTTTTAAGGTTTTACTACCAGTTCGGCTGCTAAAACTATTTCTCCTAATTATATTACTCTCTGTTTGTTTTTCATAAAATAGATATGAGGCAAAATTTTCCAAGAACTGCAGTGTTTTTTCGAACTTACCATTATTTAGCCGGGCAGTAAGCTATAAACGATTAGGATTTATAATTATTTGGTATAAACAAGTCTAAAACAAGTAGATTATTTGTATTACTTTCATAGTTGAGAAAATATATGACCCAAACGTTTGAGAGGGCCGTGAATGGCTAAACATGATAGCACTTATTCCGTTTCATTGAACAATACGGGAAAACCATGTACGATTAGAAATTACAATTTACTATTAAACAATAACGTAAATTAATATTTCGTCGGTTAACATCTACACCACTAGGAAAACCTGAAGTGAAAATAATGTAATCTGAAATTTACTTAGTATTGTTTGTTTGGATCTTCCCATTGATGTTTTTATGACTGCAACTGGTCAGTCTCTAATTGGCATATGTGCACACCGTGCGTATCGCCTCGATATAGCCTAAATTCACAAGCATGGTAAGCAAAGATGGATAGTGGCCAGCAGTGGAATCCAGGACGCACAAGCAAGTGGCTATCAGGACTCAGTGGCTGAGTGGATAACGCGTTGGCGTTTGAAGAGAAAGGTACTGGGTTCGAGTCTCAGAGTGAACATCGACTTTGAGGTGCAGGTACATTCAGCTGACGAGTCCCAAATAGGACGAAACGCGCGTCCTGGATTCCACTGCTAGCCACTATCCATCTTTGCTTACAATGTAATCCGATTTATTACCAAATTTAAGTATTATATCTATTTCAAAGTTGAAATCATGAGTCAATTGAAGCTAGACCACCATCGAAAACCTGGAAGAACTGGACGGCCGTTTCGTCCTATTATGGGACTCCTCAGCAATGGGCATCCACGAACCCGCTCTCGCGAGCGAGATTCGAACCCAGGACCTACCAGTTACGAGTCAGAGCCCTTAACCCCTTAATCCCCTTCTGATTATAATATCTATTATGAACCCTGCAAAATCATGGTATGTTCCTATGTAAAGAAATATTTCGGTCAATAAGTAACCGTACCCCCACACCAAAATATTTTATAATGATTAGTCTGATGTATGCTGTAGTATAGAAAGCTACTCTACCAATATTCACCTAGTGTCGTTTTAGACACCAGTTACTCGGGTAAACCATATGCGTCTTTCTCAACGACATATTATTTTCTTCGCGAAAGTAACTATCCGAGATAAATGGATCATTTTTCATTATCATATTAGTTTGTTTATATTTATGGGTTTTGAATGTCTCTATTGGATTAGTCAGAAAAATTTAATGCTGCATCAAAGTAAACATTCTATTGTAAAACTTAGAAATTATACCTATCACTAGTCGGTTACTTTTACAACAGCTAATACTACTAAAATGGTGTGAGTAACCCAATTTTAATAATTCTGAACCTATTCCATCGTCGAACAATATTCTATCTTATCGTTATTTGGTGTGAAGCTGGTATAGAAACTTCCATATAACACCTGGACTTCGTGAAATTTTGAAGAATATAATGAGCAATGCTACTGAAGTTATAAGACATAACTTAGGGAATTCTTACATTGGAATAGTTTTTTATTTTACATCTTTGGTTAAAGTCTAAATAAATGTTTTTATGACTATTTAATGTTTAAAAGAAATGATCTATTGTAGTCGCATTACCGTTTTGATTTAAAAGGTTAAGTGTAAAACTGGTGTTTTAGAATCTTCAGAATATCACAAGCAGTAATTTTCTCAGCAAAACTTATCAATAAATATCTAAAAAGAGGATATTCCTTTTTGAACAGTCTATTCTATATTTCACTTTTTTCCCAAAATAACTGTGAATTTGAAAGAAGTGTATTACGTTTTCTGTACTTTGCTTCATTTTAGCCTTCCACATTTGAATCATCATGCAACGGATGCAGCTATCTATATTTATATGTACAGTATATATGTTGAAACTCCTGTATCAAATATGACAGAAAATATTAGTGCATGGTTAACTGTAGCACTTGCTATTGAACGTTATGTGAGTATGAAACATTGGTCTTTATCAAAACGATATTTTACACGTAAAACTACACGTCAATTAATTGCTTCGATATGTATAATAGCATTTATTTTTAATATTCCATATTTTGCAATTCAACGAGTATCATTGAAATATGTTGATGGTGTATTACAATTGCATAGTGATTTAACTAGTTTTTCACGTTCAACATATTATGCATTTTATTCTTGGTTACGTATTGTATTTGTTCAAATTATTCCATTATGTTTCTTATGTATCTCAAATTGTTTACTGTTTATACTTGTATCACATCATAATCGTCGATTTACAAATAATAAAATGAACAATAATATTAATAGCAAAGAAAATAAACTATCTGGAAATACATTTGGCATATCAAAAACCCATAAACAACGTATTCAAGTCGATGATACATCACAAGATAGTTGTACAGATGCTATAAATAATTTCGGTGAACAAAAATTGATTACTGAATCCAATTTACAGTCAATTCAAGAAAATGAACTTACTATTCCAGAAAAAATGGTTGACAGAAACGAAGTCCAGTCGACATCCAGAAAGAATACTCACGATAATAATGATAATGATAATAATAATAATAATAATAGTAGTAGTATTAAAATCAAAAGACCAATATTGCAAGATCGTTCAAAACAACGAAGACAAAATGCCCAAAGAAAATTAACTATCTTATTAATAGCTGTAATTTTATTATTTTTAGTTGGTCAAGTACCTCAATCATTAGCTTATGTTCGAGTATTCACTACACTTGGTGTATGCTCTATTGATCAAATACAAACATGTGTAACTTATCATTTATATAGAATGATAACAATTAATTTAGCTCAATTTGCATTTGCATCAACATTTTTTCTTTATTTATTTCTTAATAGAGATTTCCGGGAAACACTTAGGTTTATTTGTTGTCGTCTGTGTCAAAAATGTAAAATTTCTGAAACTAATCAAAGATTATTAAGAGAAACAAATTACCTTAATGAACCACCTTCTAACTTCCCAAAATGAATATATATATATATATATATATACTTTTTTTCCAGTTTAATGAACAACTTGGATTTTCTTAAATATATATCATTCCTAATTTTGTTTGTTACTGTCATTTCAATTATTCATAAATGTTGTTTGAATACAATGATTGTTTTTGCTATCCTGTTTGAGTCAGGCAAAAGTTGAGTCGAATTGGATATGTCCAAACATGTTGATAGTTTAATAGACTACAGTAACCAGTTAACATCTTAATCAAGGTTCCATCGCTTCTTATTTTACGCAAATTCAGTAAAAAAATTTAAAGCAAATATAATGCTCTTAATCAAATATAGAAATAATCTTACTGTTATGGGACAAACAGGATCTGAAATAGGTCTCTAGGATACTATACAATTCGAAATTTTCATTTTACAAGTTTATTACTGTCCCTCTAAAATCTATGAAGATCCGGTACTGAACACTTTATTTCTTCTGCACATCTTAACCGATTTATATCATATCATTTTCCTAAGTAACCAAATGTATAAGTTGCAATGTAAGTGCATAGTATCAAAATGGATTGTCACTAACTATAATTATTTTCTTCGTTTCATAATAGCATTTTTGTCTAAATAATTGTGATTGATAATGCCTTGTTTAAACCATTTTATTCTTTCCTGCTTTATGCTAAAATCTGAGTAATATTTGTTTTTATCATTTCATTATATAAGCAAATATGGGCTTTCCGTCAACTTATTCAAGATAAAAAATATCCATATCTCTTTTTTAAAAAATTGTTTTACTAGACGTTACTACCAACTTTATTTTTACTGTTTTTGTTTCACTATAAATAATCACAAATGGACATATCAAATTCTTCGGCCAATTGGTTTGATAAGGCTAGTAACATTAAACAGCAAAATGTCAGTAAAATGAATGTCACCGTTTTCAACTATAAAAAATACAAATTTAAAATAATGATTTGTCAGTCTAGTTGATAATCATCCTAGAATAGAGCATTCATAACCCAAACGAGTAACAGTACCATAATTTGACAGCTAAGTATGTTTATCAATATTGTCAAGTAATTTACATCCTCCTAATAGGGATTATTCGGAATTTCGCACACATTACCGATGGTACTTTCACTAATCATTCAATACTTTCGCTCTTTATCTCGAAAGTTTTTTAAAATTGTTTCACAAATATTCTATTTTAAATGCATCAGACTAAAATACATAAAGCGTTATAAACATTATTTGACACTTGATTTTAAAACACTGATAGTGAGCGTGTGCATAATACACCATTTGTGTAGATACACTAACACTCAGTAGGAGCTAACGAAAATGAACGAGGTTATAGGTTTCAGAATAGTTGAGATTACATAGGATGTTTACTTCTCAACTGTAGTAAACGGCATACAGAAAAATGGAGTACTTGGGTTTAACCACATATTGTAATAAAAAAGCATTATCTTTAAGATCTTCGAGTAAGAAATGATTTGGAAATTTTACATTACATGAAAATCGGATATTTGTACATTGATTAGTACCACATTTTCACTAACTAGAAGTTCGGCAATGTTTCTTTATCGCCGACAAAGTGTCATATCTGGCTGTACATAGATCATCTTCAGGCAGATTATGAAGATAACTACTGATTTAATCATGCAACATACGTTAAAGAAATAAGTTTGTTATATTCCAATTACTGACCGTCACATAGTAGACAGTATTTCTGTAGATATCTAAGAAAACTAACAGAAGTCACGTTCCTGAAACTCACAGTTATGTTTTGTTTAAATATTTTCAGAGATTTCTGTATTTAAATAATCCTGTTTATTAAATAACTCTACAGATAAACGATTTTTAATTATTTACAACCTGAGGAAGTGATAATGTGTTATTCGTCTCATTATACACCATTCATATGGATGATTCTATCACTGATTTCATCAATCAAGGTTTGATTGGTTCGGTTAGCTCAAAAATCCTGTTACTTAATTGTATTTAAAAAAATCTATTCTCTATTACCCAGAAATAATCCTTCCTAATATTTCGGTGGAATTATGATATCATTTCATAATATGATAATTTTTATCGATGTTTAGTCCGTGTGTACTTCGTCGCGTATAATTATTTCTATCCCATAGATAAGTAATGCAATTAACTTAACAGCAATCAAAACATAATTGTTTTCTGCAACTATTATCTCTTATCTACCACTTCAATTATCACATGTCTAAAACTGATTCAGTTTTGCTTTCATGCTCTTCTAACACAATATCTATACCATTTTAGTAATCAGGTATTTTATCCCTCAATGTACTTAACTACATTTTAAACGTTCGCTTAGTTTTCACATTTTATTATCACTTTCGATAAACTGTAATAAATAATCAGAATATCAATAATACATGACATTTATAAGCCTAACATGGATGTGACGTTCTTTGACTAGAACTTTTGTTGTTACTGAATTAAATGGAATAGATAAACATTTTGAAAATAAGAACAACATATTAGAGGGTGAGCATCTTACTAAAAAGGTCAAATTTAGTAATTATAAACTAACACTTCTCAACTGTTTAATCTAAGACAATAATAATTACAGTTATTTTTGGATGATCAACTCACTGAAAATCATCTACACTACAATGATGGTTTCTAGGAATAAGTCAAAGTGAATTAATTATTTCATCAAGCTTATATATGAAAAGTAGGTTATCTAGAAAACTTCGAAGTGAAGAATATGAAATAAAATGTTCAAATCACATTTCTGAATACCTAGAAAGCACAAGAATATATGAATAAATATCTGACAACAATATACTCAATAGAAGAAAGACATACATTCTCAATGTTTAAAATTTTTCGGAAGAAATTTGCATCCTGCGGAGAAAAGATGATGACAAAAATCGCGGGTAGACTAAACGATCTGAACGAACGAAACTGAATCCCTTCAGCATCACCATGAGAAATAACGTTTATTAAATAAACAGAAACATCTTTGATATATACCCAATTTCACATTGAGAATTGTAGCCACCAACAACAAAGTATACCCATTTATTTAGTTAATAAGAATATACTGGATTCATTTTCAATGTGAAAACTCGTGAGCCAATTTCAATATGTAAATATGATTAAACTACACACTGGCCTAGTTTTATCATTAGCCGAAACTATTGTTAGATGGTGGATGTAATCCATATGAGAACATAGATTTACGTTTCCTGATAGTTGTCGTTCATCAATAAGCCGCATTTACGATACTAAAGAAAGGTCTATTTTCTTATGGATTTGAATGTGCGTTACTCAATATTACATCAAAAGACACCAACACTGAACATATTTAGCTACAATCAACAGTCTGTTTAGCAGGAAAGTTTACACTGATTTATCTCTGAAAACTAAATAGTTTTTCATTAGTTTAGCATGTCAATGGATGAAGTAAGAACCGTTTTGGTGATATTAATTATCTCAAGATTTAAAATTTACCTTACCAACGAATGGGAAGTGTCAAAAAAACTATGTACAAGGCTTGCTACCAACATCCTTTAAACAGATTACACACTGTATCTATAAATTAAATCACTTAACCAATGCATCAAGAGATAAAGATTAATGTAAGTCGAATTACCTGAAGCCCAAAAAGTCATATATATTTCATTTGTAAGTTACAATCATTTCATTGGAAGCTGACGCAATTAACAAAGGAACCAAGTCACATTGTTTTATTGACATCTATATAAAATGTAAGTTGTAAGTAAGTTGTTTGATTCATTTATGTAACAAAGAATTATTTACACAGACTTGTATGAACCTTATACCGGACATCGAAATATATATATATATATATATATATATATATATATTCCAAAATATAAACTAGTATATTCTTCTTCGTTGGAATATAAATCCATGTACAAAACCAATATAAGATATATATGTATCATCACCAAGTTTGATTTGATAATTCCGAATATTCGGAAGAGGTTTTGTGGAGATTTAGTATTTTCATAGTTGAAAGCGTGAATCGATTGAAGCTAGACCACCATCTAGTGAGAAGCAGTGACCAGTGGAGTTCAAACCACGTTTGTTGTAGAGATATCAACTCACTGAAGACAATTGGTGATCGGTTGCTCAACTTCGTGGATTGGTTGAAGTTAGACATTAACACCGCTGGATGTCGGCTCAGTGGTCTATCGGTTGAGGGCTCTGGCTCGAGACTGGTAGGTCCTGGGTTCGAATCTCGCGAGTGTGGGATCGTGAATACGCACTGCTGAGGAGTCCCATAGTAGAACGAAACGGCCGTCTAGTGCTTCCAGGAGTTCGATGGTGGTCTAGCTTCAATTGACTCACGTTTTCAACTATGGAAATTCCGAATAAATTGAGGATTTCGTAGATTGTTATAAATAAATAAAATATATCTTTTATATCCCAGTGAATAGAAAAATCAGATTTTCTGACGTTCCGTGACTCAGTGTAAGCCCCTTTTTCAGAGAATCAATCACTAAATCAAAATTAATCCAAGTTTAAATGGTGCAAATGGACAACACGAATATTATGTGATCGATCAAAAAACAGGTCTGAAAAAATCTGTCATGACATTTCGGTCAAGCTGGTTCATAAGCGATACGTATGTAAATTGGTGTGTATGTATATGTGCACTGTTAAGGATGAACATTGTGTGACTTTTATGGTGAGAAAAGATGGAGTTCAATTTGTAAGGTAATAGTGTGAATAAATAAATAAATAATATCCGACTAGGTGGCTAGGATATATAATTCAAGTAGTATGCATGGTAAGGCCTTACTTTCTATTGAGAGAAGTAGGATTAAGTATTATATGGAACGCTTCAGCTAAATTAATTTGAACTATTGTAATATATTGCATAACCATATTTGAATATTTCAGAATGTAATGCACACCTATTGATTAATCAATATGATCCTTATTTTCAAAATACAATGCTTATTTACCTAACTCCTAGGAGGAAATAACTTATATATCTACTTGTTAATGCAAACATTTATCAACTTTTCTAGAGTTACAAATTCACTACACCCGTCAAGTCAGAGCTTCCAGATATATTGGACATTTTTAATGATTGATAAACCCTTAACCTTCCGAATCCTAAATACCCTTTATTTGAGAGTTTTAAATAGTTATCAGTTTATTCGACATTGATTATTAATTTCTTTATCTCTCTACAAAGTCTCACTCTGTTAAACCTACATTTGTTATTACAAATCCTAACATCTTTGACATCCGCTGTCTAGTAAGATATATATATATATATATATATATATATATTAAAGCTAAAATCATTTTATTCGATTTGGGTAGAGTTAAAAGATTATTATTCTTACAGTCTAGTTTTTATGTATCTGATAATTTAAAACTAAACAAACAGTGTGATCTGATTTATGTGCATCAAGTAAGCTGTTTTATTCTTTGCTATAACAATACTAATTTTTTTTATAAAAAAACAACTAAACTATTTCATTCTAATCTATGCTGATATTTATTAAGAAATAAATAAAAAAATATACCGTTTATAAAACTAGAATGTAACGTTGACAAAACACTGTTGGCAGTCAAAAAGTATGTACTCCATGTCCATACGAAGGATGATTTTTTTAAGTATCACATGATATGAATAATGTTTGTTCCTTCTATCTCTTACAATCACGGATATCTAAACGAACGTATTAAGAAAATTTATAACAGTGTAACAATTTAAATCAAGTCAATGACTTATATTTGTATGTAGTTGATTCTATGAGTCAATTGAAGCTAGACCACCATGGAAAATCTGGAAGGACTGGACGGCGGTTTTGTCCTATGGTGGGACTCCTCAGCAGGAGTCCAGTTTCAATCGGCTCATGATTTGAATTATGAATAAAAAATTAATAAAAATCTCCACAAACAACTAACTTATATTTGCTTAGTAAA